TCTCTAGGCATCGTTCTTCTGATAGCCTCTACTTCGCAATCGGATCGCCCCGTTTCGGCTTTTTTTCTCCCTATCGGCTCTTTGATCAGGTAAACGATCCACCCCTTCACTTTCAGTTCTATTAGTCTTGCCTACTTGAACAATCTTGATAGATATTCATTGATGAAAGCTATTAAATTTGTGTTGTAATTTGTAAATCAAAGAACTCAGCTGCCTACTTACAAGTCACTGGTATCTCTCATCTGGGTCATGCTTGTTTCTGGGTTCTTCTAAAGGTTCTTGATCCAACTTGTCTGTACAGTGTGATTCTTGATAATTACAAGTGAGACATATTTTTAGTTGTGCTTTTCCACAAACTGAAAAGTTTTGTGAAGAAGTGGGAAATGATTGTAAAGGCCTGCATGTATATGAACTTAAATTCTAGTTGTTTTCTAATGCCATCGTCTTTCTTTAATTTTTTTTTATGGTGCATATGGTAAGTGCGGGACGATTTGCTTCAACTTGTTTTGCTTCTTCTCACTCGAAAAGTTGACTTTCTTTTTCCATTTTTCTATATCATTTTCAAGATGCTGATCCTTTCTATATCCTCAGTCGGGTCATAAGTTAATGAACAGGCATATTTCTTGTATCTTGATCCTCGATGTTGGGTTCGGGCTAGGGAGTTGGGAGGCCTTGTTGAAGGGCTACCTCCTTTTGTGTAAAATAGTCTTGATGTTCAACCAGAATAGAATAGACAAAAAAAAAAGCATAGTTTTGACTAGCCTTTGGGGGAAAAAAATTGTAATGAGATAATCAAATATGACAAGACGAACCCAGTCTAGTTTTATAGAATTGGGGTGGTTGCTTTAATGCGTTTTTGTGGCATGGAACATTTATCAACATAGTCGTATTTATTTTTGTTTACAGGGTTATATTTGGGCCAATTTACAGACATTTGTGTGCATGCCTATGATTTGATATATTGGAGTTGCACCAATTCATAGGCTTATCTTTTCTAAAAGTAATTGTTATGAGATTTTAAAGACGGAAGGAACTTGCTCACTTATTTGGACATTGCAATGATACGACTGGATTTGATTACATCTGTTTTTGATTGAGTAGAAGGATTCTTTTGTTTCTGTAGTTGTCACCTGTGCCCAGAGAAAAATATGTCAGATACAAACACGGAGGAGGTGAAGGAGCCAGAGCTTGCTGATAGTGCTCCTAAGGATCAAGGTGCTGGTGACAATGCCGATAGTGCTCCTAAGGATCAAGGTGCTGGTGACAATGCCGAGGAAGACCTAAAAGCTTCAAATGAAAATCATGAGAATCCCATGCCTTCACCCCAGCAGGAGGTACAACTCTGCTCTGCAAATCGTTCTAAACTTTTTGAAATTTCTTGCCTGTTGCCCTGTTATCTGTTAATGCAAACTGTCTTTCTCATTGAAATGATCTTTTTGCATCAAAATTTCTTTATATATCATCAGCTTGCTTCATTTGGTCAATAGTTGAAGTTATGCAGTAGGATCATTGTCTACAATTTTGTCTTCTTCAGGAGGCAACAATTAAGAAAAAGTATGGAGGCATATTACCAAGGAAGCCTCCACTGATATCCAAGGTAATTGTCGGCCTTATTCTCTCTCTTTACCCCCAAGCTCCCCTTTCTGAAGTTTCTGATCATGTTCTATCTTTATTGAGATAAATAAAGCCACCAACAAGCAATTTGAATTTTCTGTCAGGACCATGAGCGTGCTTATTTTGATTCTGCTGATTGGGCATTGGGAAAGGTACTCATTTGGACTTGCTTAGATTGTAGTTGCTATAACTCTGAAGGTTTGAAGCCTAATCTCTTTGCCTATCTTTGGTTCTTTTTAACTTCTTCAACAGCAAGGAGCAAAGCCAAAAGGACCACTTGAAGCACTCCGCCCAAAGCTGCAGGTGTGTTTGATGATAGCACCGTGATTTTCTTACCTCAAGCTGGCTAGAAGTTGTTAGGGGTTGAAAGATCAGCCATTACCATGCGCAAAAACTAAAACTGTAACGTAGATAGGAATTCTTTTCTTCTCCTGTTATCCTTTGCTATACATCAGTACATGGTTTTTATCTCTTATATTTGTCTGTTGTTGTCATCAGCCCACACCACAACAGCAAGCGCGTTCAAGGCGCTCATCTTATTCCCGTGCAGGCGACGGCGACGGTACGTGGAATCAATAACCAATTTCCAACAACATCACCAATAAACTTCTTGTACATGTTAGAAAACCATGTTCAGCACTTGAACTCCTTTATCTCTTTCCTACATTAGATGGCGGCAATGACAACACTTCTTTGGAGGACCAAGTAGACGGTGGCAGCAGTAACACAGCAGATGAGGATCAGAGCCGCCACCACGAGTAGCTACCGCCTGCTGCACATTCTGAACGTTGAAGCTGAGGGTCAGATCTCACCTTGTTTAAGGTGCCAGAGCAAATAAAGATAAAACTTGCCAAATTTTTGTACTGGTTGTAACATTTAACATGAATCATGTACACACTGGATGAAGATATGACATTTCATTTACTTAAATTTCTGATGAGGGATTGCTCATATTGAGAGAGAGATCCATGAATCTATATATATAAAGTAAAAGGCAGAGAATGGTGAAACATTCAAAATATTAAAAAAAAAAATGCGCTTGATTAATTCAAACATTAAGAATTGAAATTATTAATTAAATGAGGATAATATAGTAAATTCGCATTTATTTATATTAAAAAATTAAAATTAAAAACAAAATTAGATAATAGGTCCTACTTTTATAGAACATAACTACTAATGTTATCTTTTCTTAATTTAAAAATAAAATAAAAATGAAAAATGAAAACCAATTGGTTTTATTTACAAGAAGTATCATCAAGATAAAACGACAGAGTTTATGCTGTCGTTGGCCATGGAAAACATAATAATTCCATGACCTGGCACCATCCACTCAAGAAAACAGACACCACTGGCCATTGTAGAGATGATCCTTCACACCATTCCCTTCTCATCCAACATCGCGCCACGTGGCCTAATCACATCGCGTTCTGATTCTTCTCCAACCCGAGTCAACTCAGTTGCATCAACCGCCGGGTCACTCGAGCCGGACTCGTTCTGTTTCAGGGGCGTATGTTCGTGCGGAAGAAGGCGCTTCGTTGAAGCAGCAGTAGCCACATCGTTATTCCCAATTTGCCCCGCCACCTCCATCGCTTCCAAATTGCCTTCTGATAATTATACGGTACGTACTGGTCCTTGGACACTTCATAGAAAATTTGGTGGTTTTTTTTAAAATTGTGTGATGCATGCTTAGGCCATGTTAGAAAAAGTTCATCCTCCAAGACCAGACTGGTATGAAGAGTTCTATGCATCAGTCTTGAACACCTCCATGCAATCTTATGAAGACGAGGTTAGTGGTTAATTAGTAAATACTAAAAGTTCCCATTTAACTAAGTTTTGAGATTAGTGATTAATTAGAAAATGTTTCTTTCTCAATGAGGTTAGTGATTTCATTTTATGAGTAAGATCGCAGGTTACAAGGCAGAGCTGTTCGCTGAACTGAAGGGAAAAGCTCAGCAAGTGTTGGAAATTGGTATAGGGACTGGTCCTAATCTTAGATACTATGCTGCTGATAGTGGTGTCCGGGTTTTTGGTGTGGATCCTAATATAAAGATGGAAAAGTATGCTCGGGCTGCTGCCGTGGCTGCCGGTCTGCCCCTTTCGAATTTTGAGTTTGTACAAGCAGTATGTGAAACTGGTTATTAATTTATGAAGCTTGAATTTACAACATTCAATGTATAATTTCTTATAATGCAAGTTTTATTGACCTGCAAGCACTTTTTGAATTTCGGTTTCTAGTATTTGTCCCCTCTTTGTGAAATTTGCTTTTTGTTTGTGACATATTGGAAATGCTTAATCTTAACCAGGTTGGGGAGGCTATACCATTAGATGATGCTTCAGTTGATGCAGTTGTGGGAACCCTTGTATTGTGTTCTGTTAAGGATGTTGAGAAGACTCTGAAAGGTAATGGTTTTGCATAAAATTCCTGACTTGTGGGTTGTTGCTTATTGCTCATTTTTGGTGTTATATTCAGAGATAAAGAGAGTGCTGAGACCAGGTGGAGTTTACCTGTTTGTGGAGCATGTGGCTGCAAAAGGTAGGTAGTGAGCTGAACCCAATTTCTAATTCATTGAGGAAATTGAGGGGAAGAAGGTGTTATATATGGTTGTCATTTTCTGAAGTGAGCAACTGGTTATGGTGGTGCAGATGGAACAATCCTCAGATTTGTACAGAGTGTTCTCGATCCTCTGCAACAATCCCTAGCTGATGGCTGTCATCTCACCAGGGAAACAGGAAGGAGCATATCCAAGTCTGGGTTCTCAGATGTTAAGCTTAGCATGACCTCCTTGTCCAGTGCCTCTATCGTAAACCCTCAACTCTTTGGAATAGCTTGTAAGTAACAATGACACAAGGCCATAGATGGTTTGCTATTTGGAGCAGTCTAAAACTTGAAATTATTTTTTTTCGCGCAAATCGGAATTCGTTAACCAAATTAAGAGGGTACAACAGTATCATCATCAAGTAGGAAAGGCTCCAACCAAAGGGGAGCCTCTTCTTTCCATGTTACAATAGAGATGCATTTTAAAGCATGTTTTGTTTAGCTAACATATGAGCAGCCTGATTACAACCGCCTGGAATGAAAGAAACAGAAATATTCTCAAACTGTTGCATATTCCTCTTAACATTATTGGGCTTGGGCCTTTCTAAGCAAAGCAATAGTGAGCCCATGTGGCTCAATTTCTCACAAGATAAATAAATAAATAAATCTTTTTTTAATCATACTAGAATAAAACAAATTCTATTGTTCAGAAACTCATCAGGCTTGGCAATATGTAATTCAATCTAAGATATATAATTATATTATCCTGCTCAGGTTGGTCCCGGAAATATATGTATATAAATACATGTGTTTAAAATATAATTTCATTAGCTCACGCAACCTTCTACAAAATGATTATTGCTATAAACAATTAATTAAATAAATGTGAAGAAATAATAAATAAAAAAGTCAAACAAAATTGGTGACAAAAAGAGACGAAGAAATAATGACATGCAAATAATGACAACAAAAAAACCAATCTGCCAGTGCCACCTACAGAAAAATATTGATTAAACTGCTCAACTCCAGCAAAAAAGAAAAAAAAGAAAAAGAAAAAAGAAAATAATATACGGCACAAAAAGGAAGGTAATCCAATTAATTAAGCTAGAAGAAACAGGGAATTGGATGGGATTATGCAGAAAAGGGAGGATCTTAATGCAAAAAGGTTCCTAAATAGGCTCCTCCTTTTTCTCCCCGATATATTAGGGTTTTCATTTCTTCCTCACTCGACAACCAGTCGCCTACGCCTAGCTCAGTTTCTTCTCGTGCTTCGTCATTGTCTAATTGTAAGCTTTCTTTCTCGATTTACATTTCTGGGTTTTAAAAAGACCAGTTCTTTATTTTTATCTAACTGGGGCTTTCTATTTCTAGGGTTTTTGACTGATGTTCAGTTCTCAGATTTTGCTTTCTATCTGCTTTGGTTGTATCACTATACTGTTTGATGAACTTTTGGTGTTTCCAAGACCACGTTCTGCTCCTTATGTGTCTCTGTTAACTTTCTAAATTTGTATGCGCTCTATAAGGTTGAACTAGATGCCTGGCCTTGTGCTGAACAAAAATATGAAAAATGCACACTCTGCCAGTCTTGAAATTTAAGTTAACTTGGGTCGTTTTAAGAACCCACTTGAAGTTAAAGTCACTGGCTTTGTGGAATTTATGTAATTTATCGGCTTTCATATTGTTGATTTAAATGATGATGGATTAGTATCTTGTTGAGTATTTGTGTTCTGGAGTTTTATTTTGTTGAACATTTGGAGTTGAGAGTACTTGTGTTGAACATTGCCTTATCTAAAGTTTTTCGAACTTTCTTGGTAGGGTTGCCACTATGACCACTGAAGAATTCTGAAATATTTGTCATTTGCTGAAGATTTCTGGAGTTGTAAGCAACATACTCTGAATATGTATTGTTAATGCTGATGAGGAAATTTTGATCCTCTGTTTATAAGTGTTTGCCTGTTTTATATTTGAAGTTCTACCGCACTGTCCAATTTTCTTGAAGTGTGGGTCTTCGCACCCTGACTGCAGCACTTAATGCTGTTAGGTGTTCTAGGATTCATTGTTGTACTAATCATATGTTGTACCATTGATAAGTGGCGCTTGACATAAGTGAATGTAACTTGTTTCATGTAAGTGATATAAATTAGTGAGCTGAGCTTTAGGAAGATTGATAGCATATAGAATCAATCTTCTTGTGTCTTATAAAAAATAGCTAAAACGGGGTCCCTGTGTTGTGTGGCTGCAAGGCCACATGAATCACATACGGCCAGTAGGGACTGGTCCGTGGGTCCAGAGGAGCCTTGCTGGCGAACTAATACGAGCTTCTCACCACCCCCATCGAGATGGGATTTCCGATTCCAACCTGAAGAACTACAGTATGGTTTGCATGATGGTATTCAGCAGCATGGGTCTTCTACTTCATCAAACAGTAAAGGAAGTAGGGGCTGGGTAAGAGGCAACAATCTCTATAATCATCACTACTCTGCATCTGATGGTGCTGCACTGTTTTTAAGTAGTTCATCTGACCTTTCTCAAGGTCCTCAGTGGACACCTCCAGCAATACAGGAAATCAGTGTAGATGATTATGAAACTGCAAAAAGGAGAGGTAATACAATTGATAATGCATCTCTATTTCAGTTTTTTCTGTGCGTGCATACACATGTTGATGTCTGATAAATTAGATTGCTTTTGGGATGAATTTCTAATTGTTGGCTTTAAAATCTGGTGTCAGAAAAAGCATATGAAGAAGTAATGTGCTAAGTGCAATTGCTATGCGTGTAACTTCAAAGATTAAACAATTTGGTGGATTAAATTTTTGTGGTTCATTTGGATTGAACAGAGCTATAATATTATTTTATGTCTGTTAATAATCTACCAAGTACAAATGAATTTGTGCAAATGATCTTGCATTATTATAATTTATTGTTTATATTTTGAGATACACACATTTGTGTGTGTTGTTTGTTACTGCACAATTTGATGGTATGTTGGTCATTGTTTGAAATAATTAGACATTGCAGTCTCTCGTAAAAAAGTTCTCACATCTTGTAACCTTCTTTCTTACATCTCTCTGTGTGTGCACACTCATGTATTTGTGTACACTTTTGCTTCACACAAAAAGATGACCATCTGGGTTAGGTGATTTGATAGTTGGTTTTTACTAACAACCCTGTGTATATGCAGTTGCTCTATCTTGATTTCTCTGTGTTACATGATTAGTGTTATAGTAATTTTCACAAATTACTCTATTGTTTAATAACTCTGGCTTTATGCTCTAATTACATCTTAATTAGATTCATGAAAAAGAAAAACCCTTCAATCATAATAACCATTGTCATGCTTAATCTACTTATACTAGCAACTTAAGGAGCATCTCTTTCTTCTCTATTGTTGGCAGTGTA